ACAAAGGAAAAATTTATCGAAAAGCTTCTGGATATTAAGAAACTTAATGAAGTAAAAGTAAAAGGGGAAACAAACTTAGAAAAATGTCCAGTAAATATAACACAACCACTGCCAATAGGAAAAATATGTCCTAATGAAAACCAATGAAATAAGTGCAAAAGAAAAAATTCAAATATCCAAGGCTTATTAAAAGTATTTAATCTCAGTAATATACACTTGTTAGGTATATAAATTTATATAACTCTAATAAAAAATATGGCAATGCATACAAAAAGTCTTAAAATTTTTCCTACCCTGTGAGTGAGTAATTAATTTCTCACAGGGATGTATTTTAAAGAAATACAGATATGGGTAGAAATTTACATTGAATGAGAACCCACTTTTATGTTAAGAGAAATAAGGAAAAAAATCTTACATCTCTCCAAACCAGAATGTTTACAAATCCCCCTATAAATTTTATACAAAGCTAAAATAATTTTTCACAGAACATTGCATAATATTAGAAAATGCGCATGACAAAACGTTAATACAGAATATAAACTGGCTTACATAATAGGGTTTTAAGTATCATTTTAAAATTGTGTACATATGGTATATGAGGTCTGTCCAGAAAGTAACCAGACATGTAATATGAAAAATAGAGACATTTATTGAAGAAGGTACAAGATACAAGAAACATTGTACATAGGAAAGTGATGCCTCAGTCCCTTTCAAAGTAGGCACCTTGAGACCTCACTCAGTTCTCCCAATCGCCATCAGCTGGTCCATCATATTTTCCTGAATCTCATTGCTGGTCTGAAATCTTTTCCCTTGCAAAAGTGATTTTAGTTTTGGGAAGAGCCAGAAGTCACAGGGCACCAAATCTGGGCTGTAGGGGTGGTTGAGTCACCTGAATGATTTGATGTTTCATCAAAAAGACTACATGAGACGTGATGCATGAGTGGGCATGTTGTTGTGATAAAGCTGCCAGTCACCAGTTGCCCATAGCTGTGGCTTTCTGAATCATCTGAATAGTTTCTGTGGAGGGACATTCAAGCGTAATACAAAATTTAATGCAGATTCATTGCTCTACTTGCTCAGTCATTTTGAATGCAATGGCTACACAATACTCACTCAATGGTGTCTCCTGCCACCACTGACTAGCACAGTGAAGTCATCATTGTTTATGTATGCACATTCCAGCCCACTCTCCTTGGCTGCCAGGTTTCATCAATGTTGCACAAACTGTTCATGTTATACTAACCATGGCTGGACTTTTCCCGGAGAGACCCCGTATATCGCTTTCTCTGTAAATTAATACTTAATGTATATTTACATGTATATACATATATATGTATAAAACATCACTTACAAAAATTCACATTTGCACAAATGTCTATTGTTATGGAATGAATTGTGCCTCCCCCTGCAAATTTGTATGTTGAAGCCCTTACCTTCTGACCTCCAATGTGAATGCATTTGGAGATCAGGCCTTTAAGAAGATAATTAAGTTTATATGCTATCATTAAGGGGGGCCCTAATCATATAGGGCTGGTGTCTTCATGAGAAACCAAAAATCTCTCTCTTTCAACATGCACACCAAGGAAAGGCAACGTTAGCATATAGGAGAAAGTGGCTGCCAGAAAACCAGGAAGAGAGTTCTTACCAAAACCCACCTGGGAAGCACTTGGTTCTTGGACTTCGAGCCTCCAGCAGTATAAAAGAATAAATATGTCTTGTTTAAGCTACCCAATCTGTGCTACTCCATTATGGCAACCTAAGAAGATTAACACATCTATCTATAAAGATTTTTTGCTAATTGCTTTTATTAGTGAAAAACTGGAAACAAGGGTTCATCAGGATGAAAAACAAATATTTTTATAAATTCATTCATAGACTGAAATATGCTGCAGTTGTTCAGTAAAGTGTTGTTTTATGCACTGATATAGCAATACTTACAAGATAAAAAAATCAATCCAGAGCAAATTATTCTATTTATGTTTTTAAAATATATGTATATGTTTTCTTTTTTTAAAAAAGATTTTATTTATTTATTTTTAGAGAGGGAAGGGAGGGAGAAAGAGAGAGAGAAAGAAACATCAATGTGTGGTTGCTGGGGATCATGGCCTGCAACCCAGGCATGTGCCCTGACTGGGAATCAAACCTGCGATGCTTTGGTTTGCAGCCCGCGCTCAATCCACTGAGCTTTGCCACCAGGGCTTATATGTTTTCTTATGCAAAGAAAAATAAATATGTGGCCATATAAGTACATCCTTGATAGCACTGGCTAAATATGGGGATGTGGAGAAAAGTGAAGGATTCATTATATTGGGCAGGAGGCAGTCAACAGAAACTTGCTTTTATTGAATATATGTGTTTATTTGATTTTTACAACATTCTTGTATTAATTTAGTAATGTTACAATAATTGTAAAGTCTTAAAATTAAAGAAATGAAGTGACTGTTTCATGAAATTAAATTTTTTTTCCTTTTTTAGGTTTTTCATTGTGCTCTCTGTATTTAGATGAACATAATTTTTACATTAAAATTTTATTCAACTATAGAATTCTTAAGTATAAGTATATATACATTTATAAGTCAATAAATTTTTCAAAAATTAAACATAAATATGCAATTAGCACCAAGATCAATGAACAAACCATTACCAGACTTCCTGTCCTCTTTTCTGCCCCATTCCCTTTCATGGGGAACAGCTGTATGACTACTAAAAGCATAGATTAATTTTGGCTTTGTACTTTTTTGGAGGCAAATATTAAAATATCTACTCTTTGATGTTTAACTTCTTTTATTCAACATTATATTGGTGAGGCTCATAATGTTGCATGAAAACCATGTTTTATAATAGAATATTTCCTTATATTTCAATAAAGCATTTGTGTCATTAAATTCTGAAATAAAATTTAGAGTGAAATAAATTGTTGCGGAAATTCAGAGCAATATAATTGCTCTTTGATTTACCAAAACAACAACAAAAGATTGTTCTTGCCAACTGTTAATAATTTACTATTGTTGGGAACCGCCCTGCCTGGTATCAGAAGCTGAAACCCCCACCTAGGCTAAGGCTAAGGGAACGTCCTTGGAACCGTAAGCCAGCTAGGAGACAAAAGCTTATCTCCCTGGCAGGAATGCTGCTTCTGCTGCTTCATTCATAACTGAACCCCAAAGCTTGGTCGGTTAGCCAATGATGGGTAAGATTCCCCAAGGGGGGAACTATCTAAGACAGGCACGATCACGCAGGAGGCCCCCAAGAAAGGACTTTGGGGGCTACAACAAAAGGGGGTGATGAACCCTTGCTCCTTGGCTTTGACTTAGCCTGAGTCCTCCTCATCTGGGAGAAAATCTCCTTATCTCTTGGTTGCCTTAGTTCCCTTGCTCCATCTAAGCCTGAAACAATTACAGGGTGGTGCAGCTCTGTGCTGAAAAGGGCGGATTCCCCGGGTGATCAGGCCTAAGAAAGACCATGTAAATTCCTGTGAAACCTTCTTTGTTTAGAATGCTCTCAGTTGAATTATAAAGGTCCAAGGGGGTAGTTAGTTTGTTCCTCAAAGTTTTACAGCTCTTTGACCCTGACTCAAAATAGGCCCTCAGACTTCCTTGTTATCTATTGTTTGATCTTTACTTCCTAACAATGAGTAATGAGCTTTTACCTGAATTCTTATGCAAACGAAACCAATAAAAAGCCTCTCCGGAGGGGGAATGGTGCGCTCTCCCCACCAGGGAGGGTGGCCAAGTGGCGCCCTCGAGAAGAGAGGGTGGCCAAGGCGCTCCCCACGTGAGGAGTGGCCCTGCTGTTCCTATTCCCCCACAGGACCTGGTTGTCTCTGTGTATGTTTTTCTCGCATTTTGACGAGCCATCTGCAGCGTTCCGTGATCACTGCTGACCAGTGACCTACGCATCTTACAATTTCCTGAAGCTTTCCAAATTGTCAAATGCCTTGGTGCTCCTAGAAATGATGCCTATACTTACTTCTCACACAAACAATAAGTTCCAAAAGCATCTTGGGTAGATCTTTTTGTCATTGCCTTTGGTAGCTAAGAGATTCTACTTTCTCTTGGTCCAGAATGATATATAAAAAAAGTGTTATCTACAAGCCAAAGATGAACCTGATGGAGGTAATCATTTACAAGTCAATTATATAAGTCTAACCTTTTTTTTTCTAAATCCAGGATGGAGAATAAATAGCCTGATAAATTAGTTTAAAATTATTTTTTAGACATATTGGAGACTAACTGTGAAAATTTATATCCCCTCCTAGAAATGGGCATAAAAGAAACCCAGTTTGTTTGACTTAGGGAATTCATAGAGAAAGCTGATTCTATATCTTTGGCAATGTTGAGTGAGATCTAAAGTTTCAGAGGTAGACAAATTTCCCTCAGACCTCTGTGCAGGGCAACTTACTGAAATGTATTCTTGGGTATACTTGTTAGTGTAGGAAACTGCAGAGAATAAAAATGTGATTATCATCTTCCACATCCCCTTTGAAAAACCAAGTTTTATGTTCTGAAAATCTGCCTTTTGTTGTTGCTGTTGCTAAAAGCCTAGCTTCAGAATGACGAGAGAGCTGGCTTTTCAAGAGATGAAGGCTCCTACATGGGAAGGAACGGGAGGAATCTGAATTTCATGAGAGGTGGAACACAGGACCCCAGCTGTTTTCTTTTCTTTTTCTGGTGGGCATAGAACAGCCAGGTGAGCACTGGCATGATGTTCTGCTCCCTGCTGAAACACCTTTTTATCCCAGTTGCTGTCTTAACAAATTTCTATATATCCTTTGTGTTAATCCTCTCAGAAGTCAGGATGGTATTAAATTTGCATTGAAGAAAATATCTGAGTAAAAGAAAATAAGGAGGGGGTTAAATAAGGCTGGAAGATTCCTCAGAACCCAGAGTAAATTAGAGAGAGAGGGAAAAGAATGTAAGTAAGTTTTGATGGAAGTGTTCTGGTTGCCTAGCAGTTTAAGAAAGGCTCAGCAAAGCCTTCTGGAGTCCTTGATCTGAAGTTACCTTTAGTTTCCCGGTTGCACACAGTCAGGTCATTGAGTCAGTTCATTGGCACCGTGGGAGCCTGGCCTCTGCAAACCAGGGGGATGGTGAATTTCAAAGTGTAGCAGCAGGGCTCAGGCATATTGCCTCCTAGAAGTGGCATATGTTTTCAGGTAAATTCTCACCGCCACCACCCCCTTCAAAGCCAACTCATAATTCACTTCTTCCTGAAGCTTCCTCAGCATTCCTGGATAGAGCTGCTAATTCTTCCTTTGAAGTACTACAGATACTTCTGATAGCACATTTCTCCACCCAGGCAGAACTATTTGGTTAGAAGTCTCTTACTCCTCTGAGATGTTTGAGGAGAAGATCTATGTGTTTTCGTCATCATGGTGTGAGACCACACAGTGTGACTGGCACATAAAGAGATCAAATGTCAGTCATTTGGTGAAATGCTGTCCTGTATTTTCTTATTACCAACTGAATTTGTACTTTAGTGCTTATAGTAGATCTTATAATACCAACCTGACTACAAGCTCCATGAAAACAGCAAAAAATAGTTCACATGCTGTTTTAACTTTTTAATTTTGAAATATTTCAAATTTACAAACACAGGGTCCTTCAGAGCATAAGGATCTGTGTAAATGTACCATTCACAGATTCATGAAACTGCCCTGACCTGACTCTGGCATTATCTATTCCTATTAGTTGGAATACCTGCTATTTAATGCTACAATATACTTTCATAACTGCTTACATCTGTATTCTGTATTCTATCTTCTTGGAATTCCTTTCCCTGTTTCTTCTTCTGTTTCTAAATATGGCAGAAAATGGCACTGAAATGATATGTCTTGAATCAAATCTTCCCTTTATTTCTCTACCAAATTCAATTATTCTGTCCCATGTATTATATTATTTATGTCTATTATAATATTTACATATTTTGAATTATAATAAATATTCACAATATATTTTTCAAAATATCTCTTAGCAATTTTGTCCTAGATGTTTCAAATTTTCTGTCTGATAAGTTCAAGATCTGGGCCATCTTTGTGTCTGATTCTACTGACTTTTTCTTTTATCGTCCATGGGCCCAATTATTTTGCTTTTTAATGTTTCATGATTTTTTTTATTTTATGTAATACATTTTGTACAAAAGAATACTCAAGCTGAAAGCCAATATTAACTTCCAAAAAAGGTTCTTCCCCTTCTTTTGTCTGGATGCTAGAGCAGAAAGCTGACACTGCAGGATATTCAATGAAACCGGGCTGACTCTCATCACTGGCTTCATTCACAAGCTTTGACTAAGAATGTACATTTTCCTTTTGGTATGGACTGGGATCTGAGCATTGGCATGATGTAGGAGTTTTATTTGTGCTTTAGAACTGAGCCACCAACTCTCTGTACTATGAAAGATAAACTTCTGTTTTATAGCTCAGCTGCCAGCTTTTTGATTCACTGGCAAAAAGTCTTTGCTTCTTTGTGTTACCCCTGGTTTTCAACTCTGGAGATCTCTTTCCGCCCTGATTGCCATTCTCCAGCCATACTAGGGCAGCTATCTGACATGCCAGGAGAGACAGAAGTGCCTGAAAGGTTTCCCTCCCGTCCTGCCTTAGCCTGTGTGCCTGAGAGACCTGTGTGTCTTACTTAGGTCTCCTCCCCATCAACGCACTCCTCTCCAGTGGATGCTGTAGAACACTCAGTGGAAACTCTGCATACCTCGGGGGTACCTCCCTCTGCAATCCTGGACTTGCCCCAGTTTTTTGACACAGTATACTTGAGCACTAGGTAAAGCCTTGTGGAAAATATTTGCTGGGTGGTTGCAGATTTGCTCTGTGGTTTAGGCTTCTTGAAAATCTAATCTCTCATGCCAGCCTACGCATAGCCATTAAAAGTTCATTATAAGTTTAGCTGGTTTCTCCTTACCCTCTTCTACAGCAGGTACTCCTCCTCCACTATTTAACCTGAAGTGAGAACAGCTGTGGAGCACTTCTCCCCTGGGCAGAGCTTGTCATTTTCTGGAAATTCATTTATTTTGGTTTCTTTGCCTCCTCTTAGGTCTCTGAAAGATTAAAAAAAAAAACACCTATGTGTTTTTTAAGGTTATCCAGCTTCTTTTAGTTGTTAAGATGAAAGCAATGATTCCTTTGCTTTTCTATATCATAACCAGAAGAAACCCAATATAACCATTTTATAATTTCTTAATAATATGTTTAAGATTTTGAGGTATAATTACCATAAAATAAAGAATTTTCTTCCACATTAAATGTTTCCTTGCATAATCACTTTCTTAGCTGGCAAATTGATCTTTTAGTTTAAAAGATTAATTATGATAGATTATTAGATTAGGTAAAGTGAATTTTTAAGTATCCTATTTATTTGAACCATGTTTGACCCTCAAATGAATACCTGCATCACCAGAGTTCTCAGAATGTATGATGACCTGTACAATTTAAAATTTTTAAAGAAAAAAGTTATGAATCTTTCTTCTGGGGGTCAACTTTGATGATCACTGTGTTGTTTTAGAGCCAGAAGGGCTGACATTCGAAACTGATGCTACTTCCATAAAGTGGAATAACTTTAACAAATTCATATTCAAACAAAAGCATCTGGATTTCTGCTATAGACCCTAACTAGGGTAGGTGTTTTCATATACATTATCTCATTTGTACTCAGAACAGCCCTCTGAGGAACACAAGATTGATAGTCTCTCTATTTATAGATGACAAAATTAAGGCTAAAAGACTCGCCAGAAGTTACAACATTGTTGCAGCTACCTTAGATCCAAGTCCATACTCATTTTACTGCCTTTCTCATCACACTGTGTCAGATATTTTAGGTATCTGACCATGTTTTTCAAAGTGTACTGGCTTTTAGAAGTGGAAATTCAGTCTTAATAAAGAGAACTAGGTGGAGAAAAAACCCAAGTTTTAATAACACCTTTTCTTTTTTTTCTTCTCTAAATACATTATGCCATTTATTTCTGAAGAGTATTTTCTCCCTATCTACTTCTAGTGGGCTTTTACAGCCATAGTACCCAGGCACTATGCAAAAAGATGAATTTATTCTAGTGTAACATATAAAATAGGTAATATCATTTCCTGAGCTTCATGGGCAGTACACAAATGTCCAGATCTAAGATTGTCCTACGGGCTCTTGATAGCTCTTTAACAGAGCTTTCACACTGTTTCCAGTGGATCCCTGAAGAATAAAGCCCCGACTAATCAGCCTATCACTGAAGGATCTGCACAGTTTTGTGTTTCCTGCCTTTCTAGCCTTGTCATCTCCCACGTGTCCCTTATACTCTGGTCATATTAATGCATTTACTAGTTACTAACCACGGAGATCAACCTTGATGTGCTGGCAGAACTACTAGATTTAGAGTACAAAAGAAGAGACTTGAGGAGTTTATATAAAACTTTGGCCCTGGCTGGCGTAGCTCAGTGGATTGAGCGTGGGCTGCGAACCAAAGCATCGCAGGGTCGATTCTCAGTCACGGTACATGCCTGGGTTGCAGGCCATGACCCCCAGCAACCGCACATTGATGTTTCTCTCTCTCTCTTTCTCCCTCCCTTCCCTCTCTAAAAATAAATAAATAAAATCTTAAAAAAAAAACTTTGACTACTTTTTAAACCTGCTTAGACCTCATATTATTATATCATTTTCTATAATATGAATAGGTTGGAATAGAGGATATTGAAGTTCTTTAAATTCTAATAATTTTTAGTTAAGTGACTTTTCTGTTCCAACTCATAGTTTATTTATGTTTTTTAAATATTGACAGAATCCAAATAAATCAACATTGCAATTATCTCATACTGTTACCTTTGTAAAGAATTGCCTTAGCCAATATAGTTTGATAAATACAGCTTGAAATACTGAATGGTTTAACTTATAAATTTAATTGTTTAAATTTATTTTAATAAAATGTCATATGAAATTTGTTTCTTATTAGTTTTTGATGTTAATAAACTGCATAAAAAGCATTTTAAAATGTGGGTTCTCAAACTTAGTTATGCTTTTAAAGAAAAGACATGAAGAGAAACATTGAGTTTGTTTATAATAACATTTGGTACATGATTCCACATGGATTAGAGAATTTTTCAACATATTTCCACATTTAGGTACTGAATGCCACACTATGTTTCCAGAAGTTTCTCATCCTCCAGTCTTCCTAAGAAAGTAGCTAGACCATTTGTCAACAAAGGCGAGCATTTTCTGCTGAGGTAATTTACTAACCAGATGCTGAGATGGTCATCTCATGCCAGGGTGCACTCTGCAGCCAGAGACTGCACCATCTATTTTAGGTTTTATGACAAATCTATGTTTTTAGAGGATTTAGAAGCAAGGTAGAGAAACACTCAGCTCCTTATCCGGGTTATTCAGTCAGATTTGCCTGACTCCAAAGACCTGTGCTTCTCTCAGGACACCTCATTGACTTCCACCTAAGTCATTTTTGTCCCTCTAAAACTTTCTTTTATTACCAAACAAAGAAAAAATGGCGACAATCTCATCGGAGTGTTGGGGAGGTGTAGATGACTATAAGGCATCCAATACAGAAAACATTGTTTTCTTCCGAGATTTCAAATGCCTCACCTTTAAATTGGTTAACTTTAAACATAAAGTCAAGCAAATACTTCAGTGTTTTTTTAAAGACAATGAAAAGAAGGAAGGTATTTTTTTTTTTACTTTAGGACAACGAAGATGCAAGAAAATTACAGAAATGAGGGGTTTGTCAGCTCTTATTTTCTGCAAGTCTCTGTTTTTAAAAAGCTTTTTTTTTCCAGTAAGAAAAGTAAGACAAAGGTTAAATATGCACATCTAGGCCAAAATGGTAAGGTATGCAAATGGAATTTACACTATCTTAGCTATATAACTCATGATATTAAGGCAAAAGTAAATTGATCTTATTCTGTTTTGAGCTATATACAAATACCCTAAATAAATTTTGGTGAATACATATCTATATGTTTCTCTATTAAATTCATTTTTATTTCTCTGTCTTAGTATGTAGAGACACATTCCAATAAAATTAAGAGTTTTGTGGAAGATATAAAGAGTTTCACTTATTAAGAATTTAGGCAAATTTATGATTGACATATAGATTTATTTATCTTGTGAGAGTTATAAATAGAGGTAAAAGTGAAAAGAACAAGAAAAATCCTCTAGTCGACCTGAAGGCATTAAAAACTCATCCCCTAAAAATCAGAAGCAAAAGACCTAAAGATGGTGAACTAAGAGTAGTGGATTAAAAGAGACTGTAGAACTTAAACACATTAGACTTTTTTTCTTTTTACAATGTGGATGTACCCAAGTTTCAGGTTGTGCTATAAAACTGGAAGTTTCCTAGAAGCTGTGGGCCTATAGTGTCACCAGACAGTGAGGGCATGGTGATGGACACTATTCCTTCAGGTGCCACTAACACTAAGACTATTCTTGTCATTACTCACTGAGTGATGAATAAGAACAGTCACCTTTTATCCAACTCATTCCCCACAGTGTGGCATTGGGAATGCTTCAGTGTCAGTGGGGAAGCCAAGGCCCAGGTGTTACTGAAAATTCAGACAGTGTACCTGGAAATAAGTCCTATTGTCCCTATAAGTCTCTTCAATTACTCAATACCAAAAAAAAAAAATGTCATTCTTTGAGCTGCAGCTATTATAAACTGTAGTGAAACATTATTGGGAAAATAACAATTTTTAATAAAAATATTATATAGATAATGTGTGTGTCCCGTATACAACTCTTTCTGTATAAAGGATATACAAATTGAAGTATTTGTGTAAAATAAATTCTATATTCTGTATTTGCTCTACATTCATAGTAAATTGTAACTAACTGCCTGACTTTCTAGATAAATTTAAATCATCATATATACAAATGGGGTTATTTTATGTTAGTTAAGAAACTATTACCATTGATTCTTCACTATTCTATCAGAAAGGAATAAAGAATAGATGAAAAATCTTTCTAATATTACTTAATGCCCCATCTAAAACCCCACTGTAGTTTGTTGACTCTAGTTTTAGTGAAAAATAAATCCATATAAATGTGATTTATACATGGAAGCAAACCTCCCATAAGTTTCAATTTTATAAAGGAAAATCATGAATTTGTAAATTTGGATGTCAGTTTTTCTTCTTCATTCACATGTATTTAATAGCTAAGAAAAAAAGAGGCATTTTACTTTACATATAAGCTCACCGAACAAACTTTTAAAAGTACAAAGCAAACTATGATTAATGTCAGAAAATATCTAGATGTTTTGCATTATTGAAAATGACTACATATATGCCTTTCCTAATTTCTGTTAAGTCTGTGTAAAATACTATTCCAGCTTGGTGTCCCAGTCATGGTGAGAGCTAGGTGATGTGTGGCAGTCACTGAGGCCTGACTATTAGTCTGAGATACAACCATTCTTAACTGTAGTTCTTAATCCTGGTTCCTCATTCCCATTTCTCTGGGGCATTTTAAAACTACTAATTCTTAGGCTAGACCTCAACTAATCAGATCAGGATATCTGGTTCTATATACCAACATCAGAATTTCTAATACTGCTCCAGTGTTCTACCTTGAAACCAGAGATGAAAAGCACATTGTCTTTCAACAATATAAGATAATTAAGTTATTCAAGGATAAAATACAAAGGAACCAAAAAACCACCCTACCTATTGGTATAGTGGATTGAGTTCCAATATTCTTTCAGGTAAACTTTTCAAGGAAAAGTTCTTTTTTAAGGAACTTTTCTTTCACATAACAGTTGACCATTTTTCCACATAGGTTGGGAAACTACTTAAACAACTATAGATGGAAGAAATCCAGCAAACAAACTGTTACATGTTTAAGTAGCTTCTCTAATATTGTATCCAAGGGTTGGCAAAAATAATAATTTATTCAACAAAAACTTTTATGGGTTTATTAATAATCTGCCAAAAATCATTCCCAGATGGAATCATTGAATAGAGCCAAACATGAATTCTTCATTCATATAATTTATATAGCATGAATGTGTGTGTTTATTCAACATACATATTGAGTCCTCTTATATACCCAAAACTGTTC